AGTCTCTTGTGAAGTCTTTTTCAGTTCCACCTTGCTTGTAGACGCCGCACTTTGATGTAAGTTCCGTGTCGCCGAGCACATCAACCTTAAAACTCAAACCGTTTATTGTGTATTCTTTGGAAGTATGAAGTTGTTGATGCAGCAGTATTTCCATCAATATATCCTCAACCGATAGCTCATCGCAAAACTCAACTTTGAAAACCGGGATTTCTTGTAACTTTTTAGGTCCCTTGTCAGCTGTTTTCTCGTCGCTTACATTATGGGGTGCAGGATCTGTGGAAATTGCTTTGCTCCCAGGCTCAAAGTTTTCTTGTAAACTTCTCAATATTTTCTCCAACTCGTGGAATGAATCTTGACTGTGCAGCATCAGCTTGCAAATTAAGTTGACTCAACAAAGAGAGAAAATGTTTTCTGAGAAGTCTTTTGTAGTTATAGACGCCCTTGATTTCTTTAAACAAGCTACGTACTTTGGCGTCCCCTCAAGAGGCAAGAGTAACTTGAACAACTCAAAAGTTTACATCGATAGCTCTTATCGAAGGAATAACAAATGAAATTAAAATATAATTAGCATGAAACTTAAATTAAAGACATGGTATCGTCATTTGCAATTAAAGAGGTGTAATCTCAAACAAAAGAAATTTAGATAGAACAAAGCCTCCTGTTGATAAACTTTGCATATCAATAACCGGCGGATTAGTACCTGTGTAATTACACCATTATTTTCAGTACAGTCGATTCTCTCTTAACGGACACCTCTATAAGACGGACACCTCTGGGAAACGGTCACCTAGAGTTGGTCCCTGCCTTTCTTTGCTCTCTCTATTTGACTTTCTATACGACGGACATCTCTCTAAGACGGACAGCTAGTGCCTGTCCCAAAGGTGTCCGTCTTAGAGAGAGTTGACTGTATAACCTCCTATTGAGCAATAGGCCATTTTCGAGTAACCCTCAGCTTTTTGTCACAAAAAAAACTTTCTTATGAACTGTTCTTTACCACTGGCCGTGGTTTGAGAGAAAAACTGCTTTGGGCTAGTGGTAGTCTGCTGGCCACCTTATTGGATCACGCGATTATCGCCCAATTTGTCCTCACCCACCCCCCGCCCCCTTCCCCTTTAGGTTTGAAATATATTTTAAACAAGGTTTTTATTACTCTCCAAAAAAGAAATCGTGAAACAGTCGATCATTCGACTTACTTGCTCTGCAACCGATGATTGCTTGTTCTTGGTTAGTGAATGCGACCGACTTTATCCAAGATAAGAAGACACGTGATTGGTGTTCCATTATTCACTTGGGTGTTGTAATCAGTGGGTCATGTTATTGACAATGACATGACTGACTTCGCGACAGATCATGTGGCTATTTTCGAAACGTGTTACGTCATTGGTGACTTTAGCATGACGTCATAACATTAAAGATCGAGTTTATTACCGAGTTTAAGAATTTACATTACATTTAAGGTTGTATTACATTTAACGCCAAATGTTATGACCTTTAGGACTATGATTACAGTTGCGTTGAAATGTTATTACATTTAGTACTTTACTAAATAAATGTTGTAAATGTTACTACATTTAGTACTTTACTAAGCTTCACACCTGCTGCCGCAGCCCACGAATGTCGCTCATGGGTACGGGTTGAGGTCTGGTTTTTCCCGTTCTGAATTCCGCCTTGTCAGAACGGACCGCCTTAGTAATTTTGTTACCCACAGTTACAATAGGATTTAATTGTTTTTGCCTTCTGTGCCATGTGTCATTATGTGTTCTGCGTATTCTTGACCTCCCTTGTAAGTTAGTGTTATACACTACCAAAGGGTTTAATAAATTGATTATTATTATTATTATTATTATTATTATTATTATCATTATTGTTATTATTATTATCATCATCATCATCATTTCGGGTCAGTTATTGCATTAAGTAAGGTCCCGTACAAAGCTCCGAAATTGAAAAGACGCAATACATTAACATTTCTAAAAGGCTATTTAGATATCATAGATAAAAGGATAGTTAATTACTTATAACAACCTCCAAGGAAAGGGTGAACATTCTATAGTTGAAAAAAAAAATTTAGTTTCCTTATTAGGCCATCCCAATAAAATGTTTCGTTTTCAATCGCCCGACCGACCCATTTTTTTCGAAAAGTAAAAAAGAAAAAAAAATTCAAGTTCCCTAGTCAAAGAAGCAAGTACTTTAATTTACAAGCACACGATCTTGTTTTATTAACATCAATTCTTGGTATGATGTGATGTCCTTGTCTTTAATTGACATCCATACTACTTTTTTAAAGGCCGTATAGACATTTGATAGTCGAAAAGACCACGTTTTCGAGTTGACTTTGTAACCAGGCTTTCTTACTTAGCAGCCCGGCCTTCTGTGGAACCCAGACCCCGGCAAGTGTTCATTCATTCATTTTTTTTTTTTTTTGCCCGACCAACCGACCCACCATCACAAGTGACAGGGCGATGGGAGAAGAAACATTTCATTGGCATGGCCTTATGACGGTCAAAGTAGTTTTTATTCCAGTCTCATAAAGAAATAAGTGGGTATCATAATTTCCAGTTCACACGTATCCGGATATTTTTGAATCCGCAACCTTTTCTTTCCGGATTCGGCTGCCGTTCACACGTATCCGGAGTATCCGGCGTACGAATCCACAACTTTTTGAATTCACTCTCCAGAGAGGACATTTTTGAATACGCTATGGATCCAGAATCGTGTGGACGCTAAACCCGGAAAATTTACAGTGAATATTCAAGACGGTGCCCAGCGTAATGTTATCGCTTTTTTTAAACTTCAGTTTCAAGTCTTATAACCTACACCGGCCTCAATTATGCCACACGGCGGATTGACATTTTGAACCTTCTTTCCTTATCGGACGGACGAATGTCACGAACTGGACGCTGGAAACAAGTTATTAAACGAGCGATCTAGTGCTTTGTGGGAAACATTTATTGAAGAAGATTGGCGATAAAATTTTCGCATGAGCCGGACATCGCTTTATAAATTAGCTGACGAATTGAGAGTGAATCCGAATACGTGTGGACGGGCAAATTCGATTTGAATACAGATACGTGTGGACGTGGAAACCTTTGAATCCTCAAAGAAAAATTTGCGAATTGAAAAATATCAAGATACATTTGGACGGGGCCTTAGCCACCGTGTGGACAGGCCTATACCTAATCTCTTCATGGGTATCCCCATCCCCTTCATGGGTATTAGGTGTCCCCAATTAGTGCCAATAGGCACTAGAACGATTAGACACTTTAATAAAGATTATGTATGTATGTATCCGTATCCAAAGGAATGATTTGTTATTCGCATTCATTATTCTTGGTTTGCAGCCATGCAAAAGGTGACTTTTTAGCTGGCAAAAAATACCACCTGAAATTGGAAGTTAGCTTATTTGAGAGGATTTTAAGTTATTAATTGTTATAAAAGCGGTTTTTGAAAGTTACTCAAGCTCTCGACGTCGTCTCACGTTTACATAGTGTCTAGCCCTCCGGTGTTTACTATCAGACTTCAATCAAAGACGAGAAAATGTTTTCTATTGGCTAAATGTTAAATAATTCTATTTTACTGAAATTTTTGGCGTATTTGTCAATAGTAATTGCGAATTTTTGTGTTAAATAGAAACAAAATCGCTGTATTTTTGCTTATATAGCGATTTTGTCAACGATGCATGCCGGTAAAACAGCTGGCCCCTACTATAGAACGGTGTAAACATAGAGTGCAAAATTACACGGAAATAAAGCAAAAAGACACCGGCACAGGACTGTATGAAACCAAGGGAGTAACAGTTGGCCCTCGGTAAGCCAAAAGAAATTCCAATTCCTTTGGTTCCTGGCCTACATTATGGCATTCAAACGTTGCAGACAGGAATTAAACAGTCCAAAGTGAATTACAAATGTAAAAAGCCAAATTCAGGAAAAAGGAGCAGTAAACAAATGAAAAAAATCAAAACAAACAAAAACATTAAACGCAGCAAAACATGCTGACGCTTAATAAACGTCATGCTTTTCCAAAGAAGATGTATTTGAGTTGCGGGCTATCATTTAGGCTGCGTAGCAGACTTAATTTATCCCCAGTTAGTAATAAAGGTTGCAAAGCAGTGCCGATATCCTTGTTCTGGGCAAAAAACGAACTCAATGCATCAACGCTTGTGCGTTTCTAATTCCCTTTTGACTCCATTAGCAAATAACAATGGCTTTTTTAACAAGCCAGTCATGGCTCGTATAAACTTTTATAGATTCAGTTCGCAAAAGTAGCATACTATGTTAATCGCAGTGCTTGTATATATTCCTAAAATTACGCCAATAATTAAGCCAGTTTTTGTATAAGTTTGCTCCCGTTAAATTATGCGTTTATGTTATTTTTTTGTTTTAAATTTCGTAAAAGCACTTCAATAACAACAAAAAAGTAAGTGGCAAACACATTTAACCTAGTAGTATATAGAAACACTAAGAGTGCATACATTACGAAAACTCGAACAATTAACAACCAGCACGGGGACACCATCTTGGATAAATGAGCTAATTATGTGCGTGCGTTGAGTTCTGTGTTAAGAATCCTGGGTTACTTCCTGTGAGGACTAAGTTCTCATGAATGTCGCAATAAAGAGACAAAGAAAATGATTTTGTTCCGTAAGTTTGACTGTCAGTAACACTCATTTCGCGCGAAAAAAAAAAATGGTTGGATGATCCATGAATGACAATTTTTGTGCTGCAAAACTAGCGGAAAGTGTGAATAATGCTAGCAGTGCCTTTCTTTCGGAAAATGGGTAAAAATTATGTTCGTGATGACGAATTATACCAAATATTATGCTAGCACAATCTATCAAAACCTAGGTGCGTAGTGAAATCCTGGTACACAGGTGGGGGCCCGGAACACGGATTTATTTCGGCGTTGTTATAGTTTCGTCTGTGGCGCAGGCTAGCTCTCAATATGGTAGCAATTATAGAGCTTGACGTAAGATTCAGGCTTCATAAACTATCAACATGCCCTTACTTTTCACAAATAAATTTCTTGTCTAATGAGCATTTTACATAACGCCACTTCCCGTAATGGTCTGGATCGGATTTTCTTATTCTTATTACAACACAATCCTCATTATTATTTTCGTTATTTTTCGGCTGGTTATCTTCCCAGTTTTTGTACCCATCCGAATCCAATTGAGTTCCGTCCGTCCACATCCAGTCACCTTCGTTGTCAGAATCAGAAAGTCCAATCCAGTAACCACCGTCTATGTGGGTCGGCAAAAGCTCTGTTTTTATGAAATCATTTTCTTCACGAGAATCAACCTTTACCAATCCGGCCTGGCATTTTTCACATTCCTCCTTTGCCTTTCCCCAACTCAGTGTTGGTGACGTAACCAATTTATAACATGACGTCCCGTTGCAAATCCACCCTTGTTGACAAGCTGAGTTAAGAAACAATAGAAAAACGTAAACCAAAGACATAAAATTAGTTGAAACTAGTAATAACCAAAGGTTGCGGAGTTCGGTCGACAACGATCGAAGGTCAAAACGCTTTGCTCCAACGCTGTGCATTGCGTATAGGAGTCACGTTATAGATGCTCAAAACACGTTTCATTAAATTACGAGTGACAGAAGGTCCTTACTGCACTTTGTGGAAGTCAAAACGAAGATGGCTCTATAGATCACTGATACGTGGGGTGCATACGTAATAACAACCTGGAGATTGATAGCCGATGTTAGTAAAACAAGGAACCGGGAGTGGGTAATGAGCAAGGGCAACGGGAAAATGAAAATAAGAACGAGAAAGAGAATAGTAATGAATTTACCGATAGGGCTAGGGTTCAAGTTAAGTTTTGTTCCCATTTTTCATTTTCCGGTTCTGTTTGGTCGTTGACTTAAATAGGGCAAAAGGGCCGCGTCTGAATCAATTTGGTAAAGCAGGTTTAATTTAGTGTGGCAAAAACACCAAATTCAACACAGTCAGTACTCGCATTATACGTCATTCGAGCGGCAGGTGATTCATACGGCGCTCCTCTGAAGTGCAGAACCTAATGCAAACATTATGCACACTTTAAATTTATATTCTTTTTTTGCCCAACAATTGCGCTCGTTTTTAGGTAGTTGCCAACCGCACAACACTAAATTGAGGAAAATGGCGGGTAAAGAGGGATAATCTTGCTCATCTTGCTTTAGGAACACAATATGTACTTATTCACGGTGGCAGGAATACAAAAGATAAGAAACTTATTTACGGTGCCAGGAATACTTTTGTATTCCTTGTTCTCTCAAGGGCTGGATAGCGGTCAGTTCAGTCGCAAATTGTGAGTCATGTTTCCGAAAAGTTACAGACAGTGAAAGAGCACGAAAATGTCGAATGTAATGATTCAAATGAATCGCTATCTTGTCTAAAATGATCAATTATGGCACAAAAATATGGTATTGTACCCTGGCCTTTCTCTTTCTCTGTAAATGAAATCAAGGTTAGGATCGACACGCGTACGCCGTCTCACGGAATCAGTGGCAGCGCCAATGTTGCTCCAAAGTAGGATTAAATAGAGATAAGAAGTCGCTTCTCACGTTGCCGTGGAAGCAAAATCTTTAGATGACAACAACCCGAAAATTCACTCAAAAAGAGATTTCGCATTGTTTCAAAAAAAAAAAAAAAAGAAATTTTTGCGCTGTGTTCACGTACTCCATGAAGCGGGCGCGTGAAATTAGGAAGTTTCATATGGCAGTCATGCAACGATGGCTAAAAAGCTTGATGTAGGTGCAAAGTTGTTGTTTTGTAATGTAAACCTACGGATTTTTTGCCGTTCTTGTTGCCGTCGCCGGGGTCTTTCTTAAGCTCCTCATACCTGTGATCCAAACATTTTGCTACCATGGTAACGTGACGTTACACTTCTCTCTATTCAGTCAGCCTCGACACGTGAGTGGGATGGCGTCTTAACAGGGCCTAAAAGACTTAAGAAACAGTGCAACTTAACCTAGTCTTAATCTAGTTATGACACCGAACTTCAATTCACTTGTGCCTTGTGCCGAACCTAATTACATGGAATTACGTACACGAAACATTTGGCGTCTGAATAAATTCTATTTCAATTTGCAACTGCTCGGCCTTTGTTTCAACCTAACCTGGCCTAGTATTGCGACTTTGGAACGACTTTAATTCAGACATCGAAATATTTATGTGCCGAACCTAATGCATAAATTATCATCAATAACGTATTTCTCAAGTAGTTTAACTCTGAAAGCATTTTCATGTTTCTCTTCCTTTCATTTTCAGAGCTTTACTTTTAGAATAAACAAGAAGTGACCTTCCAGACAGAAGCCATAGGCTCCTGCTTTTGTTAACAGGCTTATCAAGTTGATAGAGCAAGTTGGAAGAGAAATCAAGTGTCATTGGCCTTTTTTTATACTGAGGAGGCAAAATTAACCATCTGGCTGAAGTTTTGCTAACATTTGTCTACCTCAGTAGTGCGTCGTTCACGACGTATTACAAAGGATACTTCGTCCAGACACGTAATGCGTCTTGTGCCCGGGTCCGTCTTTATACTTAAGACGCATAACCAGACGAACTACAAATGTTTGCACAAGTTCGTCCAGGCAGATAATGCGACAGCAGTATAAAAACGGCCATTGATACCAGTACTGTCTATGGCGCCCTCAGATCAGTGTCTGCATTAAAAGGGTTCAAATGTAAGACTATCTGTAGATTGTTACACATGTATTTGTCCGGTACCAATGGATTCAGAATGATTTAGCTATATCAGCTAGACTATAACGGTAAATAAAAGTTGAAGCAAAGACACCGAAAATTACCCACCGAGCGGAGCAGGTTTGATTGCTGAATCTAGTAAAGCTGTGGAAATATATGTTGGTATCACTGTGGCTTCTGATGACGATACATCTGTTGAGGAGCATGATAATAACTACTCACACTAGATTGTTTTCCAGTTTTTTCAGTATTTATATAGTTTTAATATCATCATTACTGTGTTTCCCCCGTCCAGTTTATGTGCTTTTGCCAGAATTGCTATCGGTTATTAGTTATTGGTTTAGTAAAAGAGAATCAGATGGTGCAGACGATAGTTATGCGTTAATGGCTTATTGTGAGATCATGAATGGCTAGATATTGAAAATTTGTTTGTTTGTTCTCTGTTTGGCCAGTTTATAGACCAAGACAAAGTTTAAAGGTGAAAAAAAAAAAAAACAAAAAAAACAAACACAAAACAAAAGAACGAGTCCAATACAAGTTGAAGGAACAACGCAGACAATTACTCACCTTGTTGAGAAAGCTTGTTTGTTGAAGTTCGTGAAGTTGTGGAAACTGCTGTTGGTATCACTGCGGGTTCTGATGACGATACATCTGTTAAGAAATTGTTTCCAGTTGTTTGAGTATTATATTTCTTATTTCCTCATTGTTCTTCCCTTGCCCAGTTTATGTGTGCTTGTCAGAATTGATATCAGTAAATAATTAAGTTGTTGGTTTTGTAAAAAGAGAATCAGATGACAGGAGACGATTTTTTTGCGTTAATTGCTTAGTATGAGGTCATGATGGCTTGATAATGGATTTTTTTGGCGAGCTTATGGAAGAATTAAGGTGAAGTCAAGGTTAAAAAAAAAAACCTTCGAGGCAAGTATATTAAAAGTAGGTCCAAACTAAACCAAACCCATGAATGGAATTTAGCTAATGGGATTCAGATAAAAAAAAAAAAAAAAAATTGGTAAAAATTTATCTACAAAAATTAGGAGTTGTCCACGTGGGTAGTCGATGGACCAGGTTCATCAAGAGGTCCATGGTTTAGGTCCAGAGAGGTGCCGGGAATCCATGTTTTGTATAAGTCTTCAATAACGTATTTTGCAAGCAGTTTAACTTAGGGTGCGTTTCTTAATTAGGCAAATCCAAAAACGGATCATGAATCCATAAAATACACACCTTTACTGAATTCTTTGGATCAAATCCAAATTCGAATTTTTGAGATTCACAATCCAGTCAATCCGGGCATTTTTTTGGGAAAGGATTTGAAAAAGGTATTTTTGACACGCGGTTTTCCCAACAAAAATGGTACACAGTAGTATGACATTGCCACTGAACCTATGTTGGTGGCGCCTTAACTTTGAGCCAATAGTTACATTTCATTTCATGTTCGTCATCTATTTACATTCGTAGACTGTTTCTAAACCCTCGCCTGTCATGTTTTTTGTACGTATGTGTCTGCGTCTGGTTACGCCGGTTTATGTTCAAAGTAATTAAAACAAAAACAAAAACAAAAACAAAAACAAAACACACGGCTTCAGTTTTAAATTCTTACAATTTTACAATCCTAAGGTGTATTCCATTCGAGAAAGGTTTGTGTTTCAAACCTAAATAATACACATTTCGTATATTCATACGTACTTATGTTACTTTTCTTACTTGTCTTCGCCGCGATGATCAGTTTGTTGTTGTTGTTGTTTTTTTTTCCTCTATTTTTCTCACTACGAGGAGCACGAAGACATGCCGTTAATGTCGTGGTAAATGATCCTTTTTCGGATCTTCCCTTTTTTTTTGGTAGTTATAGAAGAAACCATATGATCCGAGATCACAAACGCGTTTTTGGATTCTCCTAAAAATACGAGGCCTCAGAGAACGTTTTCATGCTTCTCTTCCTTCCCATTTAGAAAGCTTTGCTTTTCTTAAAGAGATCTGGCCTTGGCCGTTTGCGATTTCTGATTGGTGGGTTTCGATCCGTTTGGTTTGTTTCTGTGTTTTAAGGTCCATTGTTTGTGTCCTTCCTGTTTCGGGCTATATAATCTACTACTTTACTTTGAAGATTTTAACTGATCTTGTTGTACCCGAACAGCCTTATGATGTTCAGAGGCAGGTTAGACGAGATATTGGCATTGATAAGAGCCAGACGCCAATAACCTATATCATTATACATTGTACCACTATCTGTCTTCTCATTGGCTAAGAGCCTCCAGCTAATTTTAGAAATCAACGCGACCTACTGATGAGTCAATTATCTGCTAGCAAATAACTGATTACTCTGTAGATTGGGCACGCAATGCATGATTTTAGAAAACAATATTAATTCAGGTTCCTTGCAACGGTGTGTTTGTCGTTATTTTCTTCAAAACAATGTATAATAAAGCACTTATTACTTTCGATTTTTGTGATATCCTAAATAATCAAGGTCTCGGTAAGTGTTAACACTTACCTCGACCTTGATTATTTTGGATATCACAAAAATCTCATCCAATAATTGTTTATTATTATTCATTCAAAATATTTCGCTGTTTCTTATTGGTTAAAACCACGCGCATAATTCACCATAAACAGCCACTGTTGACCAAATGGCAAGAATTTTGTCATATTGAACCAATGACGTCAAAATGACGTCAAAAGTGCAGCCTGGTTGCAAGTTATTAAACCGTTAACCAAGAAAACCTGGGGACGAGGTTCAGTTGTTTTGGTAGTGAGAAAAAAATGGCTGAACAGTATGCGGAACATTTTACTCGTTTCACGGCGAAAAAGTGAGTATTAACATGCAAAGAACAGCATGAAGACGGACGACATCTGCTATTTAAAGTCTAGTTGCAGACCTAAAAAGACCTTTATCTCCTAAACTTTCCGATGAAGATGCATTAGCGATATGAACTTACATCGACCAAGGTTAGCATGTTTTAGCTGTTTTTAGCCATGGAATTATTTTGAAGGAATAATAAAACAATTATTGAATTCAGTTTTCGTAGGATATGAAGAATTCTGCAGACCTCGGAGGAAGTTGTCCTCTTCGGCCTTGGGCTTTGGTGGATAACACCCTCCCCGATCTGCAGAATTCTTCATAACCTACTAGACCTCATTCAATAATTGCTCAATCTGTGGCCCCCTCAGATCAGTGTCTGTATATACTGCAAATTTCCTTCGCCACTCTCAGCCAATTTTGTTTTTGCGGATCAAGCTGGGCGAGCGCGCGCGTTCAAACATTATGATTTGCATTAACACGGTCCCCACTCAAATGATTTACGCAACAGAAAAACCCAAAATCCTTTGGTAGTTTGCAAACACGCAGCGCGATACTACGCCTTGGCAGTGAAGGGGTTCAGCTGTAGATAGTTACACCGGCCCGGTATCAATGGATTCAGATTGGTCAAGCTAATCAGCTATACTATGTTAATACAAGTCGATGCAGACACCAAAAATTACCCACCAAGTGGGGGAGGTTGGCTTGTTGAAGCTGGTAAAGCTGTGGAAACTGCTGTTGGTATCACTGTGGCTTCTAATGACGATACATCTGTTAAAGGAGCAGAATGGAAGTACTGACACTGTATTTTTCCCAGTTCTTTGAATATTTATATATTTTTTATTGCTTCATTGATTTTCCCCACCCAATTTATACTTGCTTGTGCCAGAATTGCTATCGGTAAAATAAGTTGTTGGTTATTTAAAAAATAGGTCCGCTTGGCGTACATGTTGCAAGTGCGAATATATATCATTAAAAAATGTGGTCATAATGCAACCCCTAAGATCCCCTTTGTAAATTTAACAATTACTAGTGTGATGATTATTTGCTTGTTCAATGAACTGCGATATTTGTTCTCTTCTTCAAGAGAAAGTCGTTCGAATCAAGACGCCTGTTTGTATACCTTTTTCAACGGACTGGCTTTATAGCTAAAAACGCTTAACTTTGTGAGCCCTTTCAAAAGACTGTTTGCAGAAGGAATTCGTATACGTTTAGAAACTATATAGTGTAGAATAACAACAACAACAACAACAATCAAAGAAAAAGATGAAATAAGATATCCGTTAAATAAAAATGTATTCCCCAAATACAAACATCTGTTGCTCTTGATAATTGTCTTAAAAGGTTTAATTACAACTCACAGAAATTTTGAAGGTTGCTCTCTCTTCGTCGTTATCTTGTTCTTGTAAATTTAAATTGGTTCCGATTATTTCTTAGGTCCTTTTATCGAATCCAATTTTAGTCAATCGAATATCCTAAAACTCCCTCAAGATTAGCCAAAAAGCCTTCACGATTATATGCACAAGCATAGTGCACATAGTTGCACATTCCAAACATGCCAAATGGTTACACATTCCAAAGTTAACAAATTTGTGCTAACGCTTTGGTCCCCCTTCACGAAAGTAGTAAAATAATTTATAGCTTATAGGATTATTATGGCTGTTACGTGATACGTTGTGATTATATAAAGCACTTCGACGAATTTTTATGCTCTCACAAAGTGTCCACGTGCTTCGCACTAGACACAAAAGCAGATTGAGATAATAGGAAACAAGTCGAAGAAAAGGCACAGAAAATTACCTACCCTGTTGAGGGGGTTGAGTTGTTGACGCTGGATAAGCTGTGGAAACTGCTGTTGGTATCAGTGTGGCTTCTGATGACCATACATCTTTTGGGGAACACAATAATAACTACTCACACTAGATTGTTTTCCAGTTGTTTGAGTATTTATGTATTTTTAATTGCCTCATTACTGTGTTTCCCTCGTCCACTTTACGTGCTTTTGCCAGAATTGCTATCAGTAAATAAGTGGTCGGTTTTGTAAACAGAGAACAATCGATCAGATGGTAGGAGAAGATATTTATGTGTTAATGGCTTAATGTGAGATCATGAATGGCTGGATATTGGAAATTTGTTTGTTTGTTTTTAGATCGGCGAGTTTATAGACCAAGACGAAGATTAAAGCTAAAAAAAATAACGACAACAACAACAAAAACAAAGCAAAACAAAAGAACAAGTCTAATCCAAGTTGAAGAAACGAAGCAGACAATTACGCACCTTGTTGAGAAGGCTGGTTTGTTGAAGTTCGTGAAGTTTTGGAAACTGCTGTTGATATCACCGCCGGTTCTGATGACGATGCATCTGCTATGGAGTACACGATAAGATTACAAGAAATTGTTTCCAGTTGTTTGATCTGAGTATTATATTTCTTATTGCCTCATTGTTCTTCCCTCGCCCAGTTTATGTGTGCTTGTCAGATCACGATTGATATCAGTAAATAATCAAGTTGCTGGTTTTGAAAAAAGAGAATCATATTACAGGAGACGATATTTTTGGCGTTAATGGCTTAGTATGAGGTCATGATGGCTTGATAATGGATTTTTTTGGCGAGCTTATGGAACAAGGTGAAGACAAAGTAAAAAAAAAAATCTTCAAGGCCAGTATATCAAAAGTACGTCCAGACTAAACCAAACCCATTAATGGTATTCCGGAAAAAAAAAAATAGAAAAGAAATGGTAAAAATTTATCTTCAAAAATTAGGGTTCGTCCACGTGGGTAGTCGATTGACCAGGTTCACCAAGAGGTCCTTGGCTTAGGTCCAGAGGGGTGCCGGGAGTCCATATTCAACTGAGGGTGCGTTTCTTGGACAAATCCAAAAACGGGTCATGAATCCATCAAATCCACACCTTGAGTGAATTCTAAAGGAGCACGATGGAAATACTGACACTAAATTTTTCACAGTTGTTTGAGTATTTATACTTTATCTTATTCCTTCATTGATTTCTCCCCCGTCCAGTCAATACCTGCTTGTGCCAGAATTGCTATGGGTAAAATAAGTTGTTGGTTATTTTAAAAATAGGTCCGCTTGACGTACATGTTGCAAGTGCGAATATATATCATTAAAAAATGTGGTCATAATGCAAAGAGTTAGTTTGGATTGCGCTCTTTTTTGCTTGTTGTAATGCCTTTTTTTCTGTTTCAAAGGTGTATGACAAAGAGAGTTTGTTTGAGCCTATCTGTTTTTGTGAATAGCCTCTCCATCTAAAGTGTCTTTTTGAAAATTTCTTTAGAGAAATTGGCTCTGAGTAGCCGGAGTTTTGCCTTTGCTTTTCATGATTCCATTCTTTACCCCTAACTCTTGGGTGGCAAGACGAGAAGCCTGCATTCTGAAATAATCCATCTGGCTTGAAAAGTGTTCCTAGATCCAAGAATTAACATGTTTTAATAGTTTTTATTTCTTTGAACACAATTATATCTTCAAGTAAAACTTTTGTTCTCAGAGATTCCCTTTGTTATTTTAACATTACTAGCGTGATGATTATTTGCTTGTTCAATGAACTGGGATATTTGTTCTCTTCTAAAAGAGAAAGTCGTTCGTATCAGGACGCCTGTTTATATACCTTTTTCAACAGACTGCCTTATAGCTAAAAACGCTTAACGCTGTGAACGTGACTGTGACTGTTTGCAGTGCGAATTTGTTTAGAAACTATATAGTATAGAATAACAACAATAAGAAGAATCAAAGAAAAAGATGAAATAAGATATCCATTAAATCAAAATGTATTCCCCAAATACAAACATCTGTTGCTCTTGATAAATGTCTTAAAAGTTTAAATTACAACTAACAAAAAAAGGTTGCTCTACCTTCGTCGTTATCTTTCATCGTCTAATTTAAATTGGTTGCGATTATTTTCTTAGGTCCTTTTATCGAATCCAATTCTAATCAATCAAATATCCTAAAACTCCTCAAGATTAGCCCAAAAGCCTTCACGATTAGTTATATGCACGTGCATAGTCAACCTCGTCCCCAGGGCGCTTTTCCCTGGCTTTAGAGGTGGGGCTTTTCCCGCCCCACCTCCAAAGCCAGGGAAAAGCGCCCTGGGGAAGAGGTTGATGCATAGTGCACATAGTTGCACTCTCCAAGTATGCCAAATGGTTAAAGATCCAAAGTTAACAAATTTGTGCTAACGCTATGGTCCCCCTTCACGAAAGTAGTAAAATAATGTATAGCTTAAAGGATTATTATGGCTGTTACGTCATAAGTTGGGATTATAATGAGGTACTTAAACGAATTTTCTATGCTCTCACAAAGTGTCCTCGTGCTTCGCACTAGACACAAAAACAGATTGAGATAGTGGGAAACAAGTCGAAGAAAAGGCACAGAAAATTACCTACCCTGTTGGGGTGGTTGAGTTGTTGACGCTGGATAAGCTGTGGAAACTGCTGTTGGTATCAGTGTGGCTTCTGATGACCATACATCTGTTAAGGAGCACGATAAGAATTAATACTGACAGTAAGATTGTTTCCAGTTGCTTGAGTATTATATTTCTTATTTCCTCATTGTTTTTCCCTTGCTAGTTTGTAAGTGACTTAGCCAGAATTGCTATCGGTAAACAGGTCGATGGTTTAAAAAATAAATAAATAAATAAGAATCAGATGGTAGGAGGCGATCATGCGTTAATGGTCGAGTATGAGGTGTCATGTTGGCTGAATGTTGATAAAACATTTTCTATTTCTTTGCGAGTTTAATTTATAGACCAAGACGAAGTCAAGATGAAAAGAAAAAGTAAAAGAAGAAAAGAAAACAAGGCCAGCTATCTCCAGCCGCCTTCTTGACCTCATGCTTTGTAAATAGAGGATTTACTATATATGGCCCAAATGATGAGAACCTGTGTTTGCGGGACCGACGCGGGAAATCCCGAGGGGCAGTTTCTTTCTTGCTCGGGTGGTCCATCAGAACACAGTATTTGCTTCATATTGTACGCTCGCAAGTTTAGCCGTATAATAAGGTATAATAATTATGCAAAACATTACAGCTCTGAACCGGCATCAGTGTATTCAATTTTCTCTACTGATGAGCTAATCCTAACCTAAGGAAAATACCTACCCGCCGATTGAGTAGCTGATGAAGATACTGTTGATGCATCTGGAGCCTTTGATGCTGATGAAACTGTTGGTGGGAATTCTGAAACTGCTGACAGATTAATTTGCTTTTTGAAATTTAGTCGGTTTATACACCAGATTGTTTTTAATTGTCTATCCCTCTTCAAACCCAGGGAAGCTTTTGAGTCCCTTCCCCCCTCTTCCCCTTCGCTGAAAAGTTGAATAACTAGAGGACTGTTCAAGCTAGGTGGATAGGGCTTTCCACAAGTTTTTTGCCAACTTCTCGTATTTCGAGCAACTTTTTTTCGTTTGGAGCCTTTTTTGTTTGTTTGAGATATCGGAGCGGCATATTTCACCATGTTTTAGTAGACAATTTATGCATTTCCTGTAAAATATCTTAGGAGCTAAATCCTCCCCCCTGGGGCAGATCATAGAAGCAAGATAAAAGTAGCAGGGCTGGTAAGCCATCGGTTTTTAGAGAAAATTCAAAATTGTGGACAAAGGTTCACACGCGATTGACTTGAGTGTCTCGGGTGAAGTAGATCGTTCAGCAATTTTATTGGCTCATTACATTTTTTTTTTGGTGCTAATTGAGGACAAAGTTATACTGAAGTAACGCTGATCGGCTACAGACAATTTGCATATTTTAGCATTAGTCGGAAGCCAAAGAAATTGTTTTTTCGAGCAATTTTTGAGCAACTTTCGCTACCAAAAACAACTTTTGATTGTTCTTTGAGCAACTTTTGAGCAACTTTTTCAGAAATTACAGGAAACTTTTTGGAAAATCTTCAGTAATTTGTAGAAAGCCTTAAGCTAGGAACACCAAACAAAACGACTTTTCGCAAAATTTATCTGGGAACATTTCAAAATCGTCGTGACGTGTACGTCAATATTTGTGTTACCATTGCAACAGAATTGTGACAGCCATGTTTTTTTTTTTTTCAAAATTTGCATTTTTTCTAGAAAAACGGGTAGTATTTGTATTTTTCATGATTTAATCAATATATTACACTTAGTTTAGCATTATTTTATCACAGTTGTTGTAACTGTTAATGAAATTCAGGCTTTTTGGTACCTTCTAAGTCTGAGAAAAAACACGAGTTCAATATGACCAAATGGTAGATGCTGAGTTAAATTTTCAACAGTGTTGTCAATTTGCCAGACAGGATGAAAGAAAATCGAAACGTAATTGTGGTAACTCGTTAAGTCCGTTGGTGGCCCACAACAGGGTTATCGGCACAGTTGAATTGCTAATGATGCTGTTGACGTCTTTAGAGCATTTGCTGCTGATGAGTCTGCTGAAGATTATTTTGAAAAGATTAATTAATTTACTCTTGGAAACCCTATACACATCTGTTCTTTTTTTGTTAGTTTTTGTATTCCATGATAGGTCAGCCGCATGCAAAAACTAAACTATTTCCAACTTCTATTGTATTTTGGATAATTAAGGTTTGTTGCAGAACTGTGGAACACTTCACGTTTAATCCATAAAAATAGAAATTGTAGTATAAAGAAAAAGGGAAGGAAACATAACCAAAACATTGTCCGTTCCTCGTTTTATCAACATTAATAAAAACTGAATTGACGTAATGTTACCATCACGGGGAACAACAAATAGCTAAGGCCGGCTCGGTAGGACGCCGCTCCACTCATGTGCCGAACCTAACTGATGAGTTAAGTACGGCCAAGAGTAGGGCGGTGTCTGAATTAATTTGTTATTGTGGTTTTAGCCCTAGGAAGGTTTTTCTGAGTTTTTTTCCTAGAGGATAAAACATCAGCACCTGACGTTTTCAGCAGCTGATCGTTCATACCTCACGCAGATTTTGAGACAAGTTTAGTAATGGTCAGTTGCCATGGTTACGAAATATGACGTCATAAGTATCAAGTTGTCAAGCCAATTTTGGGCGAAAATACATGTTTTTTCAACTTCTTTCAACAAGAAAAGTAAATCTTGTGGCTAAAATCATGCAAAGTGCTTATTTATGTTTTATTTTTCCTGTAAAGCACAAAAATTGCCATTTCTCTCGGATTTAACATGATTTCTAATTCGTCGTAAAATCCAAAATGGCGGCCAAGATGGCGACCATTGTTGGTGACGTCACAGGCCTCCGGCAGCGCCACCAACCATAAAATATACCCCATCTTCGAGAGGATGAAGGGGGGTGGTGGTGGGTGGGGTGGGCGCTTATTTGAGGCTAGACGTCTATTAACTTTTTCTCTCTACAGGATGGGCGTGTATTCGAGATGCGCGGGAATTCGAGGTTGGGTGCTTATTATAATCAAATAAATTCAGTATCTTCAACAAAAATGAATGTTCAAATTTCTTCTTTATGAGACAGCTTAACGTAACCGCCCAAGGCCGCGATCATGTGAACTGCGACATGATCCAAAACACAACCCGAATATACCAATTTCTTGAAAGACCAACGGCCGGTTAGATCTCACGTCCATCTGCTTGGGGGCAGGGTCGGTGCTTTTCCAATTAAGGAAAATAGTCTATAACCGATCTAAAGCCGCTAATTGATGTTATTGTTGTTTTTTTTTGTTGTTTTCTGTCTAGTTGTTTGTTTTTTTTTTTATTATTATTATGCTATCATGTGTTAAGAATTCCTAAGACTTCTTTCATGCTGCAAAAATGAACATGCTGTAGTATGGTATGCTTTTAACAACATACCGGGACTTGTCGGCTGCATTGAGGTAGTTGTTAAGGTACTCGATGTTGCTGCTGATGGGCTAAAGACAGTTGTCATAGGTGGCGATGGCACTGCATAATTGGATAAAAAAGAAAGGAAATGTTAAATCACGTGAACTGCGACATGATCAAATACACAGCCCGCACATACCAATTTTTGAAAGACCAAAAGCCGGTTAGATACCTCGTCCATCTGCTTGGGGGCAGGCCGGTGCTTTTCCAATTGGGCAAAACAGTATATAACCGATCTAGAGCCGATAATTGATGTTATTGTTTTTGTTTTCTGTTTGTTTGTTTTTTTTATTATTCTCTGATGTGTTCAGATTTCCTAAGACTTCTTTCATGCTGCAATATGGAAAATGTTGGAATGTGGTGTGCTAGTGCTTTTAAGAACATACCTGGACTTGTCGGCTGCATTGAGGCAGTTGTTACAGAACTCGCTGATGCTGCTGATGGGCTAATGACAGTTGTCATAGTTGGCGATGACACTGCATAATTGGGGAAAAAAGGAAGAAAATGTTAAATTGTTTCATTATGCGCAAAGATAGAGATACGCTTTAATGAGAGATAATCACAATTCATAAGAAGTGAAAAAATAAAAAGTAAAACAAATAAATGAAACACCAAAGAAACCCCCCAGCCATTGTGGGCACAGGGACCCGTTTATCGTAATTCCTGGTAATTTGAAGATCTAGGTTTCGAGAGTTTAACAAGCTATATTATCAATTCACCTCAGTTGCGCTGTGTAATTAGTTGACAAATTAACGGACTTTTTGGCTAGGACGCCTTGCTTTTATCTTGTATAAAATTCGATATTTGTCTTCGACCCGAAGAGTTTCCCCCGAAACCCAATAAATGCTGTTTTAATGTACCGCATTTCCTCGAATAATATCCCGGGGCCGATTGTCATTCTCATCCTCATTATTATTAGAGACGATCATTCGAGGGACACGATTATTTTAAATATTGTTCACTGGAAGTCGTGCTCTAAATATATTTTGTTTTATTATCCCATTAAATAAAAAAAACTGTAATAAATAGAATAAAATTATTTTAAAGTTAGCCAAAAACTTCTTTATTTATTAAGCACCTTACTATTTAGGAGTTTGATAAAATAAAAAAGTTGGCTAACAAAAAAATAATTTTATTTTATTTATACATTTGCCAAACAGAATAAATATTATAGAAAAAATACTAAGATTTTAATCTTCTACAATAGCAGTGATAGATGGATCTACTTTGTTCCAGCTAATCCTGACCCAAGAAAATACCTACACAGTTGAGTTGCTAATGATGCTGCTGACGTCTTTAGAGCATTTGTTACTGATGAATCTGCTGAGGATTATTTTGAAACGATTAATTAAATTTGCTTTTTGAAACCCTACACATCTGTTTAATTCTTCCATTCAGTTGTAAAATCTTCTTACGAGCAACATATATTAAAGCCTGCAAGTTATCGTTTTAAATCTGCCGCTCGGAGTGCGCTTAAAGTTCCCGGATATACACGTCGTTCTTTGCGATGCCAAATTTGGAAGATGAGAGCAATATACCATCTATTTAATGCTGTATTTGTTTGGAGACAAGATTAACTAATATGCTGGCCTAGAAACGAAGCTGCTTAAGCAGTAGACCATCAACCAACCTCGTATATAGGCGCAGCCGCCGAGCTGTTTATTCATGAGTGAATGAAAAACATGACGTTAAGGGCTATCCGAAGAAGAGATTGCTGAATTACTTGAAACGGATGCATGAACGAAAAAAACGGGAGAATACACAAAAGTCACAAAATGCATATTACTAGATCGATTTTGCCTACCTTTTGAGGAGTTTCTGCACGAAAAAAGACATTTGTTTATATCCTGAAACTATGCGAGAAATGGGCCAAAGCTTTAAAGAAAGTTTATGAGGAGGTAACCTGTTTTAGGACTTAAAAATATTTTGAATGAATAAAAAAACAATTACCGAATTCGGCTTTCGTACGGCGAAGCGAAAAACTGCGCTTTCAGTATCAGTGGATGGATAATATCCACCACCTCGATCTGCATAATTCTTCACGTCATACTCAGCCTTATTCAAACATTGCTAAAATAGAATTAGGTCTCTGCTATAATTCATGTCAGTATCAGTCACCTTTGTGTTTTGCATCAATTTTGCAAATGCAGTTGAAGGATCCATAGGTATTCTCACAATTCGACACATCGCCACAGCTGTGTAATCCGTCCTTACATTCATTGATGTCTACAAGGATGAATAAAAAAATTAAACGAAGCAAAACAAAAAAAACAAACGAGATATTAAGCTTTAGCAAATGAAGACCATTTTAAGCAAGGAGGTTGTTCTAAATTTAAGCCGATAGCGTTGAAAAATGTAAGCCGATCGCAAAAAAAAAAAAAAAAAAAAAAAACTAGACAAATATGGAGGACTCTAGTAACAAGACAGACCTTCTGCGCTTTTGCGATTTTGCCGCCGCGGGAGCGATCGTGAAGCGAGCAAGCAAGGCGGCAGACCTAATCTGTACGGAATCCTTGCCCTGAGTCATCTTGAAACGGTCAGCATTAGATCCCATTGACCGGAGCCCATTTCTCCACATATGAAATTTACACAAGGTAGAACTTCTTTCTACTTTTATATCACACTTAGACGATATTTCAAGCTGGAAATGTTCGTGAAAGTGCTAGTCTCTTCAATTTAAAATTTAAAAAAAAATGATTATGATAGACAGTAGGATCCGAGCCCACGACCTAGAAGACCCAGTATGCTATGCTAACCGCTAGAACACTCAGGATTTGTAGGAAGGAGGGGAAATAATTTAAGTACATATAGCACCAACCCCAACCCATAAAAGAGAACATAACTAGTTTTGAAACAGTGCTTAAACCTAATCAGTAAAGGCAGTGATTAACCCTAATCTATAAAAGGCAGTGATTAAGCCTAATTACTAAAGGGGAAAATAACATGAGGTGTCCGAAGGGGCTACGGTCGATGGCATCTAATAATAACCTCTGGAAACGTCAAAATAGCACCTTGCCGTCTCAATACATCACGCTCAGCGTGTTTCATACCGTTCCTTGTGTCAGCGAAAACGTGGTTTATGCCATCAAATGCCGAATGATATTCAAACGCAGAATGATATTCACCTACCGGACACTAGACCCAGCTTGACTGAATATGGACTTTAATTTTATTTTGAACCTCTCAAAGTCTGCTCGTTCATGTTTAGTTACTTCTTTGTTTTGAAATTTTATTTGGAAGCTACCTTTTGAGTGCACTTTTCAGTTGATTTAAAACATGCACAGCGTTTCATACCGTTCCTTGTGTCATCGAAAACGTGGTTTATGCCATCAAATGCCGAATGATATTCAAGTGCAGAATGGTATTCACCTACCGGACACTAGAGCCAGTTGGACTGAATATGGACTTTAATTTTATTTGAACCTCTCAAAGTCTGGTCGTTCAAGATTAGTTGCGTCTTATTTTCAGTTGATTTTAACGAATATTTGCGTTGCACAGTTTCTTCAAAACTGTTGTAACACTTCAGTGCGACTTGGAGGCGAGGGAAGATCCTTTTCTTCAAGATTAGTCTTTTTTTTTTAATATTTCATAGACCAAATTAGCTGTGCTGTGCTGTGCTGTGAATGTTTATCTCCAATTTTGATCTAGACACGTTAGGTTTCTTTTATTTATAGCGGGGCTCCCGCGCGCGCGAAGTGCGCGTGGGACAGAGCCCCATACCCATGGAATATGGTCAACCTCTTTTCGTTTGGTTGTCACGTGATTGACCGAGCGTACGTACGTACGTACGTACGTACGCGTCTACAGATTGTATGGGTGGGGTAGGGGAGACTATCAAAAGGAAGGGAGGGGTGTCTCAGGCGTGTCTTGGCAAGTCCACATCTTTAATATAGGACATTAACAATATGGTCAATTGACAGCTGTCCAAACAGGATAGCCACTGACCAGTATCCCATGACCATATCGCGGGCTCATGTGTCAACTCATCGAGGTGACGTGATTTATTTGGAAGCTGTCCGCTGACCAGTTAACTGTTTTACTAGATCGCGAACAACGTTCAATCTCATACTTTTACTAGTTTGGGAGCACAGGAAAACTGATAATGCACACATATTGGACATCAATGTTTTGATCAATTGACAGCTGTCAAAACAGAGTACCCGCTGACCAGTATCACTTGACCGTATCGCGGGCTCAGGTGTCGACCCGTCGAGGTCAAGTATTTTTTGAAGTTATCCGCTGACAAGTAAACTAGTTTTCAAGTGATCGCAGGCTCAAGTTCAATTTTTTTTTTTTTAATTCATATGAAATATGTTGTGTTTATGTGCTGCACAATTAAAATTTTGATTGCAAACTGACCTCGGACGTGAAAATTAAGCCAGCTGTTACAGGCAGGGAAGACAGTTGCTTTTGTTTTTTCTCACAATGGTCACGCGTTGGTCACGCTCTACGTCCAATTTTTATGCTCTGATTGGTCAAAATTTGACAGGTGAGTTCACGCGCAAAATTTATGCAGCATCTTGAATCTTGTTTACTTTAACAGCTGAAGCTGACAGAGTTTTGTGTCAACTTGTGATGTTTTTAACTGTCTTTTTCCACTGGATGTACAAAATGAAATTCAGCTGCTATCAGGAGTCTTCTGTTACTCATGGCTAGTTTGTTTATTGGGTTTTTGGTTGAGAAAACGTCGCTTGTCAAAGTCGGAAATCCGATTTCGGATAGCATCGTTTTCGTTTTCACCTTGCTTGATGCGTAAGAGGATTGCAAAGTCTGAAGCGATACTGGCTTTACCTGATAACTTTCAGGAGCTGCATCTCGAATGGTAAGCCAAAGAAATTATTGTATTTCATGTTTGTTTTTTGTATCTAATTTAATGAAGTGGAGCGTAGTTTATGCGGGAATTTAGTTTATGCGCGTTTGTAAGATTTGAGACAACGATCTCACCGAGTATCTGGTTTGATATAATCTTACAGAACTTTAAAAAGCCTTTAGACAGTTTCTCACCGCAAATAGAAAGAAAATGTTCCAAAGAATCTTTAGTTATAATTCTAGCCGGAAAAGAAAGCTTTGAGCGATTTTCTTGCCTAGAGTTCGTCTTTGAAAAAACAAACACCGGGAAGCTGGCTTAAAACATAAACTTCAGCAAACTTAAGCTTGAAGCTTGAAGATTCAGGATGTTTAGGGACACTTTAATACTTGTCTTCCTGAATGAAAATTGTTGTCTCTGTTAATGTTTCACCGAATTATATTTCTTTTATTGATTGTTAGTAGTCTCTCTTGCAATTTTAATCGCTATGCCGATTGTTTTCAGTCGTTCAGTGAACATCGCTTGCAGGAGTTCTCAAAATGCCGCGCGTTAAACCATCAAATAAAAAATAAACATGATAAATTCTTTATTACCTTGGAGCGTAACTCTGTTAATGTTCATTCAAACACTCGCTACAGCTCGCACTACAAAAGTGAGAACCGGATGGCCGTATAGGTGATTTTGGAAAATTTTTTTAACAGTTTATGAATATTGAATGAGAGCAATTTGTATTGTGATATACTGCTTTCTGTCCATGGTATAAAAGGTTGGTTTACACGCACCCAGATTTGTTGGCAAGATTTTGCAAAGTAAACTTGTCGAACGCCAAAACGTTGGCCTGGTTTTTTTTCTAAGCCTAATTGGTCTACGGTGATCAATAGCCATTACGGCTCTTAAATGTGATAAAAGATGATTACCAGTTTTTGAGTGTACATATGAGGCTATCAACTCGATGTAAGATTTGGTTCACTCTTGGGCTGTTTGCAAATTATGTTTCTCTAAAATCAGGTAGCCTTTCCCTCAAAAGTCACATAAATGTGCTCTAAAGTTAACTGAATTGTGGAATTCGAATACAAGTTTATTGTTTAATTTAAATTATAAATTTACTAATGGGAGCCTCGCTTTTAGCCCTGGCTAAATCTATATATTCTATTTATTCATTTATTGATTTAACGCGGTGCACATGCTGAAAGAAAGAATTACGAAATCCTTTTGCTTGCTTGCGTTCATCTCCTGGTTCTGTGGGTGCTGGTAGTTTCTTGCTCAACTGACTGCTGGGAAAATTCATCATTTGTCACTGGATCCTCGACCACAGGTTTCTGAGGTGGGGCAATCCCTTTACCCACTGCCGTTAAGGTCAGCATACCCTAAGCCTCTTCATCTGAACTGGTTTCTGAGGCTGGGTTGGGGATGGACAAAACACCTGGTCTGGTAATCTTCCTTTTGTGCTTCGGTCTCCTGGCTGGATCCTCTGTCTTTCTTTCAAAGGTAAAGTCATTGCATGGAAGTATCAGACTGCTGTGTATCACACGATGCAGTCCTTCGCCTGATACAGGTTCAACTTCGTAAATGGGCTTTCTTCGTCATTTCCGATTGATTAATCGATAAATTGCCCCTTCCCAGTAAGATCACGTTTTTCCAGATCTTTCTCTTTCACGTACGTTTCTTACTGACTCTGTCACCAGGGGCCCTAGAGCAGGACTGTGGTCTTTATCCTCATAATTCTTTCCTGTCCTCCCAGAATGAGATAATCTAGATCTATTTGCTGCTAACTCGTGAGCCTCTTTCATGGCTGTTTTCCATTCTCTGTCATGAGCTAAATATTCTGTCGGAGAAGCAGGCTTAAATTTAAAATACGATCTATCGGAAGTCTTGGGGACTGACCACTCAACAGGTAATGATGACAGAATCCAGTGGCCTCATGACAGGTGCAATAATAGGCATGTATAACTTTATTAAGACTGTCCTTCCACCGAGATTTCTGGCGAGGTGCGTAATATGGATAGAAGTGTCTGGTTGAGCCTCTCTTTTTTCCCCTTTCCCTTGGGATGGTAGGGTATTGTTCTGGATTGCACCAGACCACAGCATTCTTCTAAACGATGGAAAAGCTGATTTGCAAATTCATCTGCGTGGTCGTGCTAAATTCTGACAGGAAACCCAAACCTTAATATAAATTAATTCTTATTGGCTGTTGTCCTAGGGGACTTGTGGGTGGTCGCATATCAAGGGATGATCCCTGCATCTTTGCTTTTGAAAATTTTGACTTTCGCCCGTTGCTCTCCGACGTTGAATGGCATTTTATTTCAGGCTCCTTAAAAATATCATAGAGAGGCTTTACAATCCTTGAAAAATGCTCAATACATCTGCGATAGTAACTCAACAGACCTGTTAACTTATTAGAACGTCTCGAACAGTCTTTGGATTAGACTGTTAGTTTGGTGACAGCTTGAGTGTTTCTGTGATCAATGTTGTGCCCTAACTGGTAGGCAATTCTTCACAAGGACCATACTTCATATGCAAATGGTGAGGAGTAGCAAGCATGTAATCAAGTCTTCAACGTAATGCTTTGACTTCGGCATACATCGGGCGGGGTATAGAAGTATACGTCGTCTGAACTGGAGAGGTGTCTGACAGTTCTAAATTCAATTGCAGTCCCTCAATACATCCCACATCATCATCATCATTCTGAGCAAATGATTCGGTTGCTCAGTCATCATTTCATCGCCATTTTTTGCTGGCTTTCATTAAGGTCACCTAGCTTCTCTTGTGGCGCCCTTAAAGACTTCTCGTCTCTCTTTTGGTCATTACTAATGTCACCAACATGACTCTCCTGCGAACATTTTTCTGAACACTGCTCATTCTCTGTTAGATTGGTAACTTTCTCACTCTGGCATGTACCTTTCCTAACCCCTTCCAAAGGCGTAACTTATGTAATTAGCTGTAAATTTCCCAGAGGTGTCTGTCGACCAACAACTACATTACGTTTGATGGGCTACGAACTGCAATGTTCATCCTGTTGGGTAACGCTCGTGGCAAGGTGAGCAGTTGTTCTGAGACTTCTAATTAAGCAGGCTAGGTTTCATCTGGGGTTGTCATCTTCTTCTCTCTAGTGGGCCGCAACTGACATAACATGGTACCCCCACCTTCTGTCCCGCTGGTACTGTTAGACTGTTTATATACCACTCCTCAAAAACACAAGCCTTCTTCATTTGACCTTGCTCAAACTCCACCAATGCACTAACACTTTTCACATTCACATCCACCAAAGCAAAACTCATAATGTCAAAAATTGCTCCCTTGCTTCCTCCTTGTCACTTTTCCTGATCGTCTCTTCTATAACATTGTAACCATGAATGATTGGGTACAATAGCTCGTCCCTTGCAACCAGGATCTGTACCTTTAGGAGCACAGACGTTTGAACGTAAGAGGTAAGATGGAATTCTACTTCCGCCCATCCTATGAAAGGTATTACTCCACCATTTGCTGCTTTTAAGTCCAGTCCTTCACCCTTCATAAAATCTTTTCAATTTTCTTTAACTCTAATCATGGTAGAAGCTCACTAAACCAGCTCTTTGATACTATGGACACCTGAGTCCCTTTATCCCTTAATAGCTCAACCTACTTATGAAATACTTCAACAGTCACCCCCACTCAACATACACAACACTTTACAATTCATACCAACAAGCCTGGCTACTGTTAACTGCTGTGTAGGTGTAAGATGACTGACAAATACACAACCATGATCACCACGTATTACTTGAGAAGCTTTCTGTGCCTTTAGTTGCTGGATGGCTTGACAAAGACACTTTTGACTGCTGCAATGGCGTTTCCGACATTGACGTCCACAATACTGCACTACCTTGCATCCTGAGCACTGCATCAAAACATTGACCAGCCCTAGCGACTTCCTGAAAATTCAAACATTTGTGGGACTTACTAAACGTGTCCTTAGGTGAGGCTACTGATGTCCTTCGGTTGTAGCCCTCGTCTGTTTCCTTGACCTGATTTCTCACTGCTACTATACCTTTTTACGACAGCCACGAGCCCATAAGTGATCACTGCTACCACAAACATGACAATGGTAACACAACTTCCCTCTCCCTCCTGCTTGACAACTGGGACAGCTTATTGGTCGTTGGTGACAACCCCTTCCTGCATTAGCTTGATTCCTTTTCACTGATTCCAGCTTCAGGGTGGCGAGCAGCTTGTGGTGCAGCCATGAACTTCTCTTTTTTCGACCTGTCTTTCTCAGCTACTTTCACCCTTAGGTCAGTCGCTTCCGGTTGAGCAACCCCCTCTACTCATGATACATCGACCTCATTAACCGTGGAACTTTTTTGACGGGCGGGGGATCCTAACTTGGATCTCCTCTCCATATCCTATGACACCACGACATTCATGAGCTTGATTAAGACTTTATCCTGTACCCCCGGTTTTGTAAAAAGAGCCTTCATCTACTGCTGATTGAATCCTACAAAAGATTTGTATCTACTGCAAGCAAAAATATCCCCTGAACCAGGTTAGAGTCGCACCTAAGTGCAGCGTCTACTTTGAGACAAAAAGGATCTCTTGTCTAGAGTCCAAAGTTCTGATAGGAAAGTTTTGTGGACTCCCTTGTAGCTCCTGTAAATTTTTGTTAAAATTCAGTTGCACTCTTCTCCTGGTAATGAGATCTCAAGAGGCGTCTTAACCAAGACAGAGTCAAGTCTCCCAGCCCTTCTAAATAACTTTTCAGTCTCATCCCAGGGTTAATGGCCATAAAACAGCATTTACAACTTCGGAGGACTTTATCCACTTTCTTTGTCGCTCCTTCAATTTGTCTCGCTAGGCTCACAAAGCTTAGTTTTTCTTTCTGTTAAAGCTCCCCTATCTGGCCAATTATTTTCAGCTCCGTTTTGGAATCGCTAGGCTGGAACTAAAACGATTTTCCGGCTTCCAGTTTCTGTTTACTCTCTTCACACTTCTGCTTACCATCGTTTAACTCGTGCTTACCATTTTTCGGCGGTGACTGAGAATTGCCTAATGCTGGCTTTTCCAGTGACAGACATTTCGGGCTGTATATCACAATTTGGGTCTTACAATCCTTCAAGTGCTCTATTTTGTCCTCGGTAGTACCTTGTAATTTCAACTGAACTTTCAGTCGCACTTCGATTAATGTTAACCTTTTTTTCCGACCTTTTTCCCCTCCACTTCGTTTTGGCAACATCCTAAATCTTTAGCAATTGCTTTGAGGTCCTCCACACCAAGCTGGCAAAGGTAGCTTTGAACTTGCATATATTTGTGCATCATCGACCTGCATTGTTTGCTTCGTTTGATCCAAACACTTGCCTCGGCTCTTCGCGACCATTCGCGACCGTTCCCGGCAAGTATATGAACTCGTTCCTCAATACTATTTTGTTTGTTACCTTCTTCTCTTGGACAGGCCCCCAAACAAACATCGCAAAACAACAAGACGAGAACAATATGGCGGAGTGCCGACTCTCACAACAATACAGACCTCCTGCGTTTTATTACCCATACTTACTTAAGTTACAATTGCATTCTTGAAGGGGGGGGGGGGAGTTTTTATTTCCTACTCGCTACATATGTAAGAAATGACAATTATCCCAGCAGATGGGCGATATGCAGTTAAGGTTGGAATGAGGGATCAGCAGACATGCACATGCCCGCATAAAGCTAACAGTTGTCTCGTCAGGTTGTGGGTGGAATTCAGGGTGGCAAATGTACCCTATATAGTGGTGGATTCTTCCATTGTCAGGTAGTATCGGACCACCATGAAAACCCTTACCTAAACGTTCAGACAATAGTGTATCACAAGGAGAATTAAAACAACGCTTTAAAATCCTGGCCCATGAGGCTCGCTGAGTAAAGTAACTGGAAGTCCATTGTGAGTCAGGGCAATGTGCTAACACATAGACATAGAAAACAACAAAGTCAACCTAAACAGCGAGCCCGTTTACCTTTGTCGCAGTTTTCACCTTTGAAACCATCACGGCAAACCCATCGGTAGCACTTATCTCCGTAGCCTACCTTACAGATGGAATTCTTTCCCGGACATGGGCTACTGTGAAACAAGTTCTGTTGAAAAACATAATTTAATTATTCAATAACATTTTCTGTCCTTAGACCAGATACTCCATGAACGTATACAATAGTAAAAATAGGATGCGAGCTTATCATTATTACTGACGGTGATTGGTTGCGAAAGAGTTTGCAGATGTCTCTCATTTTACGTCTTAAATGATGTTGGTAACTTGAAATTTTGCCTTGCATTAATAATCAACAGCTTCAGTTTTAATGTTAACGTTGGACAACTTTAAAACCGCTCAAGAAGTGATGACCGCCAAACTTAAAATTGCCTGGGAATCGGTCTATAATGACCCAAAATGGTAGATGTTGAGTTCAATTTTTCACGGTGTTAATTTCTCTCAAAATTGTATCACTTGCAGATTTTTTGCTTCTTAAGCATCCTTTCACACAGATCAAATTTTATATCCAATTGCTTAAATCTATACGGGTTTTAAGCAAAATGACAGAATATCCAAGCCTGTGGATGATGACTCCAGTTTCTTCGTTTATAATAAATGGCGTAATCTTGACGTCACTGCAATTGTTAAAAATTGTCAAAGTGTTAAAGGCCTTCACCTCATTGTGTTAACCCAGTTATGCCTAGATGTTAAAAATGACTTTCCCATTATTCTGTGTAATTTTGGTGGCCTTCTCGTGGGGAAAGGTGGGGGGAAGGGGGGTTCAAGTCATAGAGGAGAGGCTTCGAAGCATCCCTCCCAATCCTGGTTCCAGGGGGCAAAAAAAGCCAGCTACTGAGGAACAGAGGGTTAAACGAATTTGCGTTTTTGTTTTTGACGCTTAAGACAAACATTTACAATGATCTTCTCAGTTACGATGTTTCTCAACCCTTCGCAATTAATCGATATCAATTGTTTATTGTTACCTCAATTGAATAGTGAATGTGGCCTGTCTTTTCCTGCAACTTAGTCTGAGATGGACTTTCGTCTCTAAAGTTGTTTAACTCACAGGTGCGTTGCCCTTGGTGGTCCGCAGGACCCACATTTATGGACTCACAATTAGGCTCCAAGAAACACTTCTTACGGCAGCTTCCTACATTTGCCACTTTCTCTGTTCTTATCACGTGACCCGGAAGTACTTTGCCTTCTACCGGATCCTTGAACATTAAGATGCGATTGTGCTCTGTCGCAACTACTGTAGAGAGAAATGTTTAGAATTGGGCAAAGGTTTTGGCGTTGTCTTAAATGAAACAATCTCAAAATACTAAACATGAAACAGCTGTATGAATCAGCTGATCAGTTACGTTAACAAATTCACGTTCAAAAAAATTCAATATTTTTACAAATTCAATTCCAATCTTAACATAAAGTCATGATGTCTATGCATATGTTCTTCAGCGCACTAACCGGGACCAGCCCCTCCCCTCCCCCCACCCCACAAACAACGTTGGACGCGTGCATGCAGAATTTCCAGTTTCAACATTATATAACGTGGGGGTGAGGGAGGAGACTGTAAGGTATTTTCTAAAAATTAGCACTGTTTCATGACAGCACTCAAAAATTACAGATAATTACGAATAATTCTGCATTACTGTAGCAAGTTTTGTCCAGGATTGTAGAATTGAAAGACGATAAAATTCTTCCGTCAGGTGCAGCTGATCCGCTAAATATTTTCATTGATACGTTTGCTCCAAAATGGGCATGCGGGCCCCATAACTTAGCACGTTTTCCCTCCTGAGACCCTTGCATTACCCCTGGGTATTGAGCGTAGTATTCAAAATTTAAATGCATTGCGAACATCAGGATCACTTGTCAGATCGCTTTTCTATGCGTTCATGTCCCAAGAGGGCATATATACTTGCGTTTTTAGTGCCGTTCCGGCTTTCGTCGCTGAGCATGGCCGAGGCTCCTTTCGCCATCCTTCCTTATGTTCTGGAAGCCGTTCGCCCGGCCGCGATACCTCCTTCGAGTTAACTTTTATAGCGTTGGTCGCTTTCAGACTGGATTTCAGGGCGGATATCATACTCCATTTTATTTTCATAGCGTGTGTCGAGTTGTTTTATAGCGTACGTCACTTTCAGTTGTTATGGCATTTGTCGCCTTCACGTTGGTTTTTCTCGGCGTGTGTCGCCCTCCAGTTAGCCATTTCTGGCGTGAGTCGCTTTCACCATAGTTTCATGGTGTCTTTCGTATTTTGCTCTCCATTTTGTGTTCATAGCGTGTGTCGCTTATAAGTTGTTTTCACGGCGTGTGTCGCCTTCAGGTTGTTTTTACGGCGTGTGTCGCCTTCCAGTTAGCCATTTCTAGCGTGTTTCGCCTAGAAGTTCTTTTCATGGCGTGTATCGCCTTCGGGTTTTTTTTTTCACTGCGTTTGTCGCCTTTAGGCTGTTTTTACGGCGTGTTTCGCCTTCCAGTTAGCCATTTTTGGCGTGTGTCGCTTTCACTCTAATTTCATGGTATCTTTCATATTTTGCTCTCCATTTAGTGTTCATAGCGCGTGTCGCTTACAACTTGTTTTCATGGCATGTACCACCTTCAAGTTGTTTTCATGGCGGGTGTCGCCTTAAGGTTAGCGGCATTTCTAGCTTTAGACGTTTTAAGACAAGTTTTTATAACGTGCTTTGCCCTCATTTTTTTGTATTTTCGTCGCGGGTGTCGCTCTTAGGTTTCCTCAGCCTTTATAGCGCGTATCCCTTTGTTTATGGTATTTGCTGCTTAATTTAGTTTTCGTAGTGTGTGTCACTTTCAGTGTAGTCTTTGGCATCTTCTC